ATTTCTGATTTACAACCAGCCAATAAACTCACAGAAGAAGATGAGACGCAAACGTAACATAAAACGTTTTTAAAAAAGTTTTTTTTTTAAACATTGTGCTACTTAACCTGAAAATATGAACAGACATCATCTAAAAGATGAAGAATAATTAAATCCTTCATTCGTCAAGCATATATTGGTTTTCAGTGTCGCTCCAAAAGTGTTTTGCTGCGTCTCGCGGTGGCGCTGCTCGCTTATTTCCGGTACCACCGTCTGTTTTTGCACATGTGCCGACTTAGAAATGCGAAAGAAATCAGAGTAAGAGTTCACATGCACTGAGAAATCTGACTACTGAGCTAAAATCCAGCCTCTTTATCAGATTTCTTAATCAGATTTCTTCCTTACTCTGATCCAGGAAATCAGAGTGTGCTTGTTTACATGACCATTTAAATAATCAGATAACTGCAGAAATTCGATTATGATCAGAGTATTGAGTGCATGTGAACAGACTCATTGGCGTTCAAGTCAAAGTCGAGTTGCAAGTCTAACAATAAATGGTCTTAAACTCTGGAGTTAATGTAGAACTGCTAATTCACCCTTTAACCCTGAAGACCAGCGCAGACTGCTGGTCACCATAGCAACACAGACAACAGTCTCGCCTAGCTAATAGCTAATGAAACGGCAAAGAGAGAGATTTAAGATGAACAATGATAATTTGGAGACAAATGGACTTATTTGCGTTTATAATCACTCCAGCTGGTTTCCTGATACGTTTAATCTGCAATGAGAAACTGACAAACACTGAAAAGTCACAAAGCTGAAATCAGCTTCTCATTCGCCAGCTTCTCGTTCTAATTGCCCCGTTCCACCTTAAAATGTGCAGCAGTTACATTCTGGTGGCTCAGGCATCATTTAAGGTGGAATGGGAAAATTCAAACAAGAAGCTGGAGAATGAGACGCGACTTCAGCCTCGTAAAAAGTTGAACATTTTACAAGAAACTTTTCTACTTTTGTGGAAAGGTTTCCTGCTGGAGATGCGAGAAAAGCGGCTACAGCTGAGCTAAAGCTTAAAGCAGAGCAAAGTAAGTCTGCGTTTTGTTTATAGACTATTATATTTTTTAGCCTGTTCTAGCACATCAGCACACACTGAGACATATTTGCAGCCAAGATGGTAAAACGTTGTGGCTCCCAAGGTGGTTTGATTTTTGTTGAAAGGACAAAATGGATTTTTTACTATTTGGGTTGCGACTCCTGGACTAATCCAGTCCGAATAAGGCTGATGTTACCAACAGTTAGCAGCCTGGCTGTATTTAAGTCCATGTTTATAGATAAGTGTGTCATACAGCGTCAGAAACCACATAATCAAGCCTATTAAGTTCGGCTTTCGCTGATCCATTTCCTTCCGTTCTGTCATTCTCCTGTTTAGACCCCTCGAGGAAGCTGACGAGATTCTCCGTCTTACACGCTGAGAATGACTCATAAACAGACGTGGTGCTCAGCAGTCAATCCCAGCTCGTTTCGGACAGGACGACTGTAGTCAGGGGCTAGTAAATAACACTCAGATCTACACTGCCCCTCAAACAATCTGACCGAACTTTGTTTTCTTCTGAAGTTTGAAGTTTAGCTTTTTTGCAGCTCAGGGAAGCTGGAGCAAAAAGAACAAGAAAACGCGCCTCTCCAATCGAGAACAATTAACACGCACAGTGTGATCCCCTCCTCAGTGCGACTGTGAGAGAGCTGGAGGAAGTCAGTCTGGAGTCGGTTCTTCTACACGACTGAAGACTGAAAATAGCAGCATGATATGAGCATGTATGCAGAAATTAGTGTGTGTAGGTGTGAATTCATGTGCACGCTTGAATGTGCATATGTGTATACATGCATATGGGTCGTTCTCCATTTGGAGTGGGAATTCTGGTGGATACATTTTTAAAAAAGTTCTTTCATCCCAAAACTAAATAATCTTAATATGTCCATCAACATCTCCTATTATCATACATGCAGAAAGGAGAGCTGAACTCCAAACATATTCTACAGTCACTGGTGTTGTATGAATATGGTGTAACTCCAGTGACGGTGACTCCAGTGACATTCTGGTTAAAACTGAGGATTTTGTAAACTGGCTGACTCACTGGCTGATCAGGTGACCTTCTGCAACTATTTAAAATCAGTTATAAAAATGATAATGTGGCATTATTTTGATAAAATTTTAATTATCCAGCCATTAAAGCACAAAACACTGGTGACACATAGAAGTTATGAGCTGCCTGAATAGAATTATTAATAAATTAATGAAATATAGTGAGCGAGTGTGACTCGCCTTCTCATGCTTTGAGATGCTTCCTCTCTGATGAGCCTCGACCCAAAGAAGCAGTTTAATAGAGCTGAAAATACTGTTAAAATGTAAAATAAGAGTCCTGATAACACCAGTGACCAAAATCTCTGAGACAAGATAATATTTTGAATAAAATACATATTTTTTAAATGTGGTATGATGTTAATGATCTTAAAAATATTGTTTTTTATTTAAAATGGTTTATCAAATATTGAAAGTTGGTTTTGTGACGAGCTGTTTTACCGATGCAGAGCGACGATGAAACAGGATAAAAAGAGAAAACTCAGAGAATCATAAGGAAAAGTGTTATTTAATCTAAGGTCGACTGTGTAAATGTACATACTGACTTCTGGAGCTGTGTCTGATATTTTAAGCATCTTTTTAAGCCCTGAGACCTTTGTGACATGGTTTCCCCTCCAAATGGAGAATGAACCATGTATGTGTGTAAATATATATGTGTGGCTTTATTTGTGTGGGAGGGAGGGGGGGGGGTGGGGTATGTATTGTTATATGTGTATCTCAAGGTTTAAAATTGGCCTAAAACACTGACCTATCATACCTGTGTGTACATCTCTCTGTGTGAACGTGTCTTTATATGAATGTGTACACATATAGTTCTGTGGTTACTCCACACATTTCCACAGTTACTCTATACCTGTTTCCATGGTTACACTACACCCATTTCCATGTAAAATCAAGACTACAGTAAACCTATTTCCATGTTTACTCTATACAAATTTCATGGTTGCAGTTATGAAGCAGGTCCAGCAGTGCTTGCATTTCCTGTGACATTTCAAGAAATGTTAACCACCTCAAGCACTGCTGGTCCAGTTCTGCACTGGCACAACATCCATCATCGCATCCTCCGTCTCCGTCTGTTTCGGCTCTGCATCTGTGTGCGCTGTACAGAGAAAGTCTCTACCCTCAAAAGTCTATACTCATCTAGGATGAGGAAGAGGGTGGGGAAGATCATGGCTGACCCCTCACACCCGGTCATTCTCTCTTACAGCGTTTCTCCATCTCAGCAGAGACGTAGAGTGAGAGCACTAAAGACTCAGATCAGCCGTAGTATTACACACCGTAGCACAGTCCTTCTGAATAAGAACCTTTTCTATAATTATTTTATTGTATTGTGTTTTATGTTGAGACCTAAGCAAAAAGAAAACTCCTTGAACATCTGGTGCTTGGAGAACAGAGATTCTGATCTTGGTTATGCTACACCCACTTCCATGGTTACACTACACCTGCTTCCATGGTTACTCTACACCTGCTTCCATGGTTACACTACACCTGCTTCCATGGTTACACTACACCTGCTTCCATGGTTACACTACACCTGCTTCCATGGTTACTCTACACCTGCTTCCATGGTTACTCTACACCTGCTTCCATGGTTACACTACACCTGCTTCCATGGTTACTCTACACCTGCTTCCATGGTTACTCTACACCTGCTTCCATGGTTACACTACACCTGCTTCCATGGTTACTCTACACCTGCTTCCATGGTTACACTACACCTGCTTCCATGGTTACTCTACACCTGCTTCCATGGTTACTCCACACACATTTCCATGGTTACACTACACCTGTTTCCATTGTTACACTAGAACTGTTTCCATGGTTACACTAGACCTTTTTTCATGATGACACCCGTTCTCATGGTTGCTCTACATACATTTCCATTATTAATCTACAGACCTTTCTATGCTTACTTTGCACTAATTACTCCATCATTTCCATGGTTACTGTACAATCATTTCCATGATTGCATGCATTTCCATGGTATCTTTATGCCAATTTCCAAGGTTATACTACACCCATTTCCATGGTTACTGTACATTCATTTCCATGGTTACACTACACCCATTTCCATGATTCCTCTACACTCATTTCCATGCTTACGCTACACCCGTTTCCATGGTTACTCTACACTCATTTCCATGGTTACTCTACACCCGTTTCAATTGTTACACTAGACCTGTTTAGACGGTTACACTACACCCATTTGCATGATTACACCCATTTCCATCGTTACTCTACATGCATTTCCATTGTTAATCTACAGATATTTCCATGTTTACTCTACACTAATTACTCCATCATTTCCATGGTTACTGTACATTTATTTCCATCATCATTCTACATCCATTTCCATGGTAACTCTATGCCAATTTCCAAGGTTCCTCTACACTCATTTCCATGGTTACGCTACACCCATTTCAAAGGTTATTCAACAAGCATTTCCATGGTTACGCCACACTCATTTCCATGGTTACACTACACTCAATTTACATGGTTACTCTGGACTCATTTCTATGGTTACACCACACTCATTTCCATGGTTACACTACACTAATTTCCATGGTTACTCTAGACTCATTTCCATGGTTACGCCACACTCTTTTCCATGGTTACACTACACTAATTTCCACGGTTACTCTAGACTCATTTCTATGGTTACACCACACTCATTTCCATGGTTACACTACACTAATTTCCATGGTTACTCTAGACTCATTTCTATGGTTACACCACACTCATTTGCATGGTTACATTACACACATTTCCACGGTTACACTACACTATACCCATTTTCATGGTTACTCTACACATTTTTCCATGGTTACTCTACACCCCAATGGGGTTGTAAATACGAGTACACACGTGTGCGTGTGCAGTAACTCACCTCAGCTGCTTCCTGCGCTGTTCCTCTCCGAGGCGGCTGAGTGATGGAGATCTGCTCTGTGTTTGGTGTTTGTTCCCGCGGCCCCCCGTCCTCACCGTGCCGTTCGGGTTCCTCTGCATCTGCTGCAGCAGCTGCGGCGAGAGGCTGCGGCTAGCTGCATCGGGGCTCCCCACACACACACTCAGACCGGGGGCCACATCGGGGGGCCCCACACACACACTGAGGTTATTATCGCTGTTGGAGCGCAGCAAAACCCGCGGGGCCGCAAGACTGCCGGGCTGAGGGCCCCTCCGCCGCCGGGAGTACGCTGGGGCCTCCCGGAAAGGCACTGAGAGAGAGAGAGAGAGAAAGAGAGAGGGTCTACATCAATCTCTATTATTTTAGATCTAATACATGAATTAGAGCTGTCAAAATAATAATTTGCAATTACTTGCACTAATTGCTTTGTCTTATTTGCTCAAATTAGACTCCAAAGAAACAATTAGGGTTCGTCAATGATTCAATAACTTTATTTTCATTGTGTGAATGCAGAACCTGAACACGAAAATCTTGTGATTTCCATTCCATTTTGCCACAACATCATAACACTACCGAAACTTTACCAAGTGTTTCAGTAGTGACTGTTTCGGTGACAATTTTAGCTCATTTTGAGCTCAAAAACGCAGCAGTTCATGAACAGCAAACACAGCTTTGAACAGCTGTTCACACAGAAAATCATCATAATGTTCATTAAAACACTAAAAAGTTGCTCAAGTGCAGAAGATCTGTGTTTCAGTCACGAAAATGTTTAAGATTTTCAGACTTTGGGACTCAAAAGAATGGGATCTAACTGCTCACCATGTGGCCATGAAGGACAGGGATGCAGCCTCACTTCCTGCTCTAAAATAAGGCTTCGCCTACAGACTAAGACTCTTTGTGTTTTGGTAGTGACAGGAAAACACTGGAGAACATTTTTTTAGAAAGTTTTTTTTTAATGATAAATCAAAAAAGATACTTTAAAAATTGTAAATATCATTTTCACAAGTGCAAATTTAGGGATTAGGGTTCAGGACAGACACCTCCCAATAGACACCTCCCAATAGACAGTGCCCTATAAATGATGATTTTGTTTATATTAAGCTTATTACTATCTCTATTCTTGGGTTTAAATGGGTCATAACATAATCCTTGTAAAATGTGGGCTGAAAAGGCCTGTATGGCACATTTCATATTTTATGTTTTATTTTTTGCAATATAACTCAAATAAACAGAAATTATGCACAAAAATTTAGAAAATCAACAGAACGTTATTTGATCAAACTTTTGCATTTGACTATAGATCAGTTTCCACCATCTTTGGTGGAACTAAATTATGATGTCACACTTTTGGTTTCAAAAAAACAAAAAATATTTATTTTTTTACAGATGTAGATGAAAGCGGAGCGTAAACTATGCAGATTGGTTTTTACTGAATAATTTAAAACATTTAGACGCTTAATAAACAAGCTTTCCAACCTTCTAGTGGTCGCACAGACTTGACTTTACTGCTCGATGATGATACTTCAGCCGCTGATCACGTGATTATGACACTAACAACATGAATGCCTCAGACAAGACAGCAGGTCAGGAGCCTGGTGATTCTGGGGTCCCTGCAGTTTAGCAATGCCATCCAGGGCTTGTTAGAAAGTGCGCATCATGCTCTACTGACCTGTGATGTTTGGCTTCTTTGTATCATTTCTTTACTGATCTACAGAGCTTCAAAGATCAGATACTGAACGCCATTATCTCCAGTTACCCAAGGACTACAATAAGTAATCATGTGTGGTTGGCGAGGGGACACAACACCCTATAACCATGTAAAGTTTGAAGTCATTTACTTTTATTTTACTGCTCTGGAGCAGTAAAATAACCAGCGATTCAGACCCCAGAATCTCGCAAATTTGTATCCGACTTAGGCAGAACCCTAGGCGGCCTTGGAGGCGCTCGCCTGCAGCGGAGATCCGGAGAGCCAGAGAAATTTAGAGCACTGTAACTCAGCGAAAATCTGGGTAAACGACTTCAACCTTTACAGGATTACAGGCCATTTGAAGAACCTGAAGAATCTCCATGCAAAGAAGCACATAAATGGTTCTTTGAGTGCTCATGGTTGTGTGCAGACCGCTGTCTTTACTAAATAACCCTTGAAGAACCATCTTTTTTAGAGTGTACATAAAATATCCGTTACATTTTACCCTGTTAGTTTGAGACCACTCTTCCCTGCATAGCAGTTTGCAGAGGAAAAACAAGACAAGAACTCCAGAAAAGTTCAATCGCGACTCACAGCTCTCACTGAGTACGATATTCTTCAGAGGACGACTAAAAACAAACCAATCTAACTACAAACAACTGTATTCTGACCTTTACTCCCTCGTAGCTGCCACACGTCCTAACAGCAGCAATAAAAAGCTCTGCAGATCTTCCAGCCTCAGCACTTCCAGCTCTGAGCAGGTAGGAGACTAAAAATAGCCTCTCTGTGTTCGGGAATAAAGCGCTTCGTATCTTTAGGAGTCAGAGCGAGGACGTTCTGAAGAGGCTCCTTCTGACGTCCTTGCAAGTGTATGTGGGGCACTGGAGCACCGTTCAGCCTCGAGACAAATGACCAGAGCTCTAAAGCACATCCACCTCAAACAGCGCAGCATAGGAACCCCAACTTTATTGAGAAAGACTTTTCAACTAAGTAATAAAGGTGTAATCAGCAGTTAGTTAATCAAATTTCGGCTGTTAGTTTTACTGTCTCTGTTCCAGGGGTCTTCAGGTCAAAGTAACCGGGGGCCACAAGCCAGGTGGTCTTAAACCACAAAGCATATCATCACTATTCAGATTGGAGAATGTGTTGTATATGGTTCTATATACACTATAAAGACAAAAGTATTGGGACACCTCTCCTAATTATTGAGTTCAGGTATTTCAGTCACACCCATCGCTAACAGGTGGATAAAATCAAGTACATAGCCTTGCAGTCTCCATAGACAAACACTGGAGTGGTGTAAAGCGCCGCCACTGGACTCTGGAGCAGTGGAAACGTATTCTGTGGAGTGACCAATCAGCTTCTCTATCTGTCAGTCTGATGGACGAGTCTGGGTTTGGCGAATGCCAGGAGAACGTTACCTGCCTGACTGCACTGTGCCAGCTGTAGAGTTTGGTGGAGGAGGGATGATGATATGGGGCTGTTTTTCAGGGGTTGATCTAGAACCCTTAGTTCCAGTGAAGGGAAATCTTAATGCTTCAGCACCAAGACATTTTGGACAATTGTACACTTCCAACTTTGTGGGAACAGTTTGGGGAAGAACCTTTCCTGTTCCAGCATGACTGAGCCCCAGTGCACAAAGCAGCTCCATAAAGGCCTGACTGGGTGAGTTTGGTGTGGAAGAACTTGACTGACCCTCACAGAGCCCTGACCTCAACCCCATCACACACCTTTGGGATGAACTAGAACGGAGATTGTGAGCCAGACCCTCTCGTCCAACATCAGCGCCTGACCTCACAAATCCTCTTCTGGATGAATGGGCAGAAATTCCCACAGACTCTCTCCAACATCTTGTAGAAGCTTCCCAGAAGAGTGGAAGCTGTTAGAGCTGTAAAGGGGGACCAACTCTATATTAATACCTATGGATTTAGAACGGGACTCATAAAAGCTCCTGTAGGTGTCCCAATACTTTTGTCCATATAGTGTAGCACCATAAAAAACGGTTCTTCTATTGTTATGATATCAAGCTTGTATACAATAGAAGAAACCTTTTTCGCCCTACATAGAACCACTTTTAAAAAGCTTCTATACAGAAGTTACAGAAAATGACAAAATTTTGTATTCAATTATTAAAACGGCCGAAAATGGACAGCATTAGTGCTGATCCTGATATCCCTTCTACTCTGATGGTTACAGATCCACATACAGCAGCGCTGACGGCTTTATGAGGCTGATTAACAGCTCCGTTAGACACACACTCATTCTCATACACACACTCACACACTGCTTTACACGTCTTCATTAGAAATGAGTGACTGGACATTTGCCCCCGAGCTCTGTGGCCTCATCATTACTGTCATTATGACTGAAATCGTAGCTGCTGATTTCTCCCACGCTGAAATCCACTCAGCCGGAGCAGCCTTTCCCCTCTCTTCACAAACACACAACCCTGCCGGAATGGACAGTTCAGATGTAGTTCCCAGTGGGGGGCAGTATTTGCCCCCTACACTTGCTCTAGATTCCCAGATGGGGAAATCTGTAAACTTAACTTATCTACTCTTAGTGTCTTACCAGCTGCCATAATGCATAGCTTAGGGTGCACTCACACCCTTCCTGGTTGCTTTGTACTGCACCCAAGCACGACTGTCCCCCCCTGGCCACTCCCCACTGGCCTTCACTTAATGTTCCAGGCCCAAGCACGCTTATCACAATGCGACTTATACTCTCATACACCTTGTAAATGTACTGATTATGCAATACAGTATTTTACTGTTAACCCCGCTGCACGTATAAGGAGAGTCAGGTGACGCTGAGGAAGGAATTTGCAGCTTTACTCACTACAATTCATGTTCTTCAATAAGGTGAGAACCTGACCTGTTATTAACCCAAATATTCTCGAATTAATTGAAAAGTGGGACAGTCGCATCACTGACATCATGTTCCGAGTTCTGTGCTCAGGCATGATTAGCGATCAAGTCAAGTCAAAGTTTATTTATATAGCGCTTTTTACAACAGGTGTCGTCACAAAGCAGCTTTACAGAAAAATCTGGGTCCGAGTCTCCATGAGCGTCGCCGATGGTGACAGTGGCAAGAAAAACTCCCTAAGAGCAAAAGGAAGAAACACTGAGAGGAACCAAGACTCAAAAGGGGAACCCATCCTCCTCTGGTCGACACCGGATAGCAAACAACAACAGCAGAGAATGAGATTTGAACATCAGTATCAGATACGGAAAAGTAGGAGTAGCAACGTCTGATTAGAAAATGCAGCAGTATCATCAGGAGGGTCAGTTCATGCAGGTGAGGTTTGAATAACGTTGTACAGCAGGAAGCTTCGTGGTGGTCAAACAGGTCCAGAAGGCCGGAGAACAGTGGGCACCTGATCAAGGTAGATGAAGCAACAGCATCAGACCACCCAGGATGGGCAGTTTTTCAGCTGAACCGTCCCTCAGCCCATCTCTTCAATCGGGCCCCAGCACGGTACAGAGCGATCACACTAGTCAAACGAATTGGACTTTGGGGGTCAAACATGCCGGGGCAGGTACGACTCACCTAGATTCAGTACACCCTTGATTAATACATTTTGCAGCCTCACACTAAATTACTTAAAAAATCATATAAACTTA